TACCATAATTACATATCAAACTTGGTATCACATAACAATGAGGCAGTGGGAAATCATCTCTTCTCTAAAATGTGACATGGAAATTAATATAGAAGCCTAGTTTATAACAGGGTGGTTACACAGGAGTTGGAAAAAAATGAAAAGAGAATCTTAGCACTAGGTCTTCCTCCCATCCCTTGAGGCATTCAAACAGAGGCTAATTGACCATTTTTTCAGGGAGTTTGGGGGGGAAGAAGGAGAACAGAGAAGAGAAGAGAATTTTAAATGAATCTTCTGGTTGGGTCTGAAAGCTATCATCAATACAGAGCAGTTCTAATCCTATTCTTTGCACAAAACTTAATCAGCAATAATTTCTATAGAAATGGTTACCACTCCTCTGTCTAATGCCAAAGATTAATTAGGAGTGGAAGATCCCAGAGACAAGTTTTCTAAGCTAACGGATTAGAGGAAAAAATATCATTATTGTTATTAATATATGGAGCTTATGGAGGAATTACTCTTTCAGTTCCAACTCCCATATTCCCATTTATCTCTTAAGATAGAAAGGTCAAACAATGTCAAGTTGGCTAAGTAGTGATAGAAAGTAACATCTACAGTCATAAGCAATAGAACATGGCAGTAAGCACTATCTTATGGCAATAAGCAATGAGAACAAGACTGTTAAAGATCAATTTGTAATCATGAACTTAGAAACAAATAAGCAAAAGGAAGTTTAAATGATAAGTTAAAATACATTACCAGCCAATATTAAAAGTAATCCTAATGGGTTTTTTCCAGCATAGTTGTCACAGGCGGTGAATATAAATTGATAATACAGCCGATTAGAAAGTACATTAAAGGAAAGGTATCTTTAAAAAAAAAAAGTGCCTCCTTCCTATAATCAACTCTCAACAATTTTGGATAATACAGACAACTGTGGACAACTGAAATCCCCAAACTGAATTTTATTCCCTCGCACAGAAGCAATTATACTTTTTTTTTATGATGGTAAGGAACCAAAATAACTTCCTATGCCTCCTTTGGTGAAGATTCAACTCATCTATGAAATAGCTAAAAATCAGGCCATGAGAAAAAGAAAATCAATTCAGCAAACATGATTAAGTATCAAGGATGAGGAAGGCCAGAAGTGCAAATATTTATAAATTTTAAAAAATAATAACAATAACATAGCCCTTTTCTCAAGGAGATTACTATTTAATTGCATGATTGAGGGGAGTGTGTAGATTAGACCATAAGTATGCTACAAGATTAGAGTATAATAAGGGCAAATGGCAATTCCAGACAACTTCCCCCTCCCCCCCAAAAAAAAAAGAAAGAAAGAAGGAAAGAAAGAAGGAAAGAAAGAAAGAAAGAAAAAGAAAGAAAGAAAGAAAGAAAGAAAGAAAGAAAGAAAGAAAGAAAGAAAGAAAGAAAGAAAGAAAGAAAGAAAGAAAGAAAGAAAGAAAAGAAAAATCAAGGGAGGTAGATCACCTTCCACTGGGGAGATCAGAAAAGGCTTCATGGAGAAAGTAGTGCCTGAGTTGGTCCTTGAAGAAAGAGGATTTCAACAGTTGGAGATTAGGAGTGCCCCCCCCGGCAAAAAGGACAGCCTGCATAAATTCATGGTAGCCAAAGAGGTGAGGGCAGGATGAGATGGCAGAAGTTATATTCTAGCTTGTCTGGAATATAGACTGTAAATGTGAAGGGAAATAGTTTGAAATAAGGTAAGGAATGCAAGTGGGATCTATACTATGGCAGGCCTCAAATGTCAGCCTGTGAAGCCATTTTATCCTTGTCAAGAGAGAGTCATTGCAGGTACCTGAGGCTGGAAGTGATCTATTTGGCCTTGTTTGTGCCTTAGGGAGCCTTGTGCCATTATTTTGGCAGCTATATGAAGGATGATTTGGAGAAGGAAGACACTGGAGGTAGAGAGAGTTTATAAAGCCCTTACAGTAGTCTAGATGTGAGAGAATGAGGGTCCAAACTGAAATGGTACCCGTGTGAATAGTGCAGCCTTGTAAAAGGGAGGATGAGACGAGAATGAAATTGTCAGGCCTTGGTGGCTGATTGGGCATGTGGGATAAGGAAAGTGGAAGAATAAAAGTTATTAACTCATGCATTTAGAGTATCGGTGATTGATAGGATGATGGTACTCTCAACAGAAATGAGAAATTTATAAAGGAAAAATAAAGTCTGGCATGTCCATATTATTTACCAATATTATTACTGGCAGTTCTGCTACTAATAGGAGTTGACTACTAATTTTTTTATTAGGTCAGTACTTAAATGGAGCTCTGATTTCGTCAATTCAGCCATTTCTTCTACTGATGCAGACCGAAATCCCTCCATGTCTTAAATGGTTTCATGAGTTACTAGGATCGAAAGTCCTCACCTAGTGGCCAACCTTCTTATAATAAAACTCTCTGAACTTAGCTAGACAGGTATTTGTACAAAAACCTGACAATCCATCACCAGGTTGTTACTTGAAGCCTCTCCGGCTTGCTGAGATCTGTCAGAGTCTCTGCTCACCTGGGCTACTTATGTGAGCATCAAAGTAAGGCATCAGGGAAGGTCTTTAGTGGATAACTCTTACTAATT